AAAAATTTAACGTTGTCCGAAACCTAAATGCGATGTCACTAAAATTTTGTCCGAAAACCTGACTACCACTATCGGAAACGCTGTATAACCGGTACTAATGACCGGTATTGGATTTCTGAATGAGGATCATCAGGAAATGAATAATATTTGTATATAGTTTAAAATCCTAGTGTTAACTGGTGTAAATAACTGTTCTAAACTAACCAAAGTAAACTAAAGTCTTATACGAGTCGTAGTCTGGTCACCGGCCTTTCAAGAAGGAATAAGCTCTTTTATTGAAGTTTTAATTATCTTATTGTTTCCATTGCTAGAAGGAGATTTCACAATGTGGTATATCATATACACCCCATTGTAAACAACTGTTTACGCTGACGGATCACCGGTGGATGACAATAAGATGCACAAGAGTGACATATTCACCGGTAACTTATTATGTGGTTTCCAGGAGGAAGTGCGTGAAAGTCAATCTGACATAGTACAGCAATAGAGTCATTAGGCCATATTACTAACAAAGCCTTTCCCACTTAGTTTTTACAAAGCCCTTATTAGTAATGTGAATTTCTTATCAGTTGTATAGTAGGTACCCACAACATAAGCCCTGCTTAACTTAAGACTAAATGGAGCTGTATAAATTGTCCTGTTCTCTTATTATTATATATAGACACAATTGTCCAATCAATAGGTTTGCAATATATTATGAACAAGTATCAAGGTTATAGAAAATGAAGTTTACTACAGGATCTTGTATTCGAGATTTGCATTCTCGATACCATAAAAGGGAAGCGGACTGCCCACGGCATTTCATACATTCTTAACACTTTAGAAATTTCCCTTTGCGGTTACATATTCAGATGGTGCCCAGAAGCAAATGATTTGTCCTCTGAGCCAACTGTGCCTAGAAACTATTCAGACTAAGACATCAATGCCTTATTCGATTTAGAACTCAACACCTTGAGGAATAAAGGTAATTTTACAAAGGAATATTTTAAATTTTAAAAAGATCTTCTTGAATATCGACAATGAACTCTCTCCGATTTAAATGTCATTGTTTGGGATCTCTGTCAATGGGTTCTTTGACAGACTGCTATAGTTGAACAATTATTCAGCATAAAAGGTGATTAGCACATTATTGAGTTGGATCTGTAAGTCTATTAGTTAGAAACAAAAGCAAGCTATTTGAATAAGTAAAAATCTAATCATCATTAAATTGAGAGTATTCTGGAGGTACTTTATTGTTCGTAGCAAAAGAATTTCAAAGTAAAGTATCACACGAATAAAACAACACAATCCTAAAAGAGATTACCCGAGATTTAGACCTTTACAGTGTAAAAATAAATATTTTGTACCTTATTCATTTGGAATCTAATGACATATTTTTATTATCATTTAAATTATATTTTTTGTATTTGAAAGGATTAAATTTAAATTATTACTTTTAAAAGTTTTAAGCGATACCAATGCCGCAATAATTTGCAATATTTCCATGATTTATTCTAGCACTAAACGTAGAATTGATTTCTGTATTTGACTTGTATTTATTTTTTACATATATTTTTGTTTAATAGTTTGATTGTGTATACTTCTCATTCAAATAAATATTGTGCAAATATATTACGTATATATGACTTTATGAATTTTACACAAAATGCAAAAAATTTTGGTTTAATTATTTTTGAAATTATAAAATTAATACAGTAAAATATGCAATTAACTCGTTACGGTAATGTTTTCACTTTTGCCATTCCTTTAGATGATTCAACAACCAGACGTTAGAGCTTCGTGACATAAAACCGGAACTACACGTAATATGTACATCGTTGTCCTCATAAACTAGTAATTGTATTAGAGACTAGTGACCAGCCCCGGCTTCACACGGATATTATTCAGGAGTCTCTATTTCTTGTTAAATAGAATACATCCCTTGTTACTCCCTGGATATAAATATTATACTAGTTGCCCGCTCCGGCTTCGCACGGGTATACCTATATGTATTCTACATGTAAAACTATAAGAGCACAGACAGCGGAAGCGACTTCATTTTATATTATACTAGATACTCGCCCCGGCTTCGCACGGGTGTTCATGTATGTATATATATAAACCTTACTCTTGAACCACTCTATCTATTAAAAGAACCGCTTCAGAATCCGTTGCGTAGTTTTAAAGATTTAAGCATACATAGGGACGGACAGACAGCGACAGCGAATTTGTTTTATACTATGTAATGATGATGATAAAGATAAGTAAAGAATGATGGTATCTAATGAATAAAATACAACCTATATTACACGCTGAGGATGCATCTTTATATAAGTGATTTTTTAATGTGGTTGTGTATTTTTCCAGTTATTAATAGCAAACAGGGTATAAAATCTTTCTATAATAATAGTTTAGAAACATTAATAAAGGAAATGTTATAGTTCTTTAAGGAGATGAATGAAAGAGACAACCAACAAAATAAAATGATATATAGATGAAGGTAATTTGTCCAGTCAGTTATTTAGATTTCTGAAAATGAACATCATATGTTGCTATTGGTACCTCACATGTTTTGGCATTCCAGAGAACCAAGACATTATGTCTCCGTAACCTGTAATTTCAGTGCAATATCATAATACTTGGTTATAACAATCTGGTACGTACAGAATGTGATCAAGAAAATGTGTAACAGATAAATAATATTGAGGTTCCATAGCTACAAGAGCAAAATGATTTGCATAGTAGAGCGGTTTTAAGAAAGTCGTTGTCATGATTTAATTTTAATTTTCATAGGCGTTCTGTTACGATACCTAACTATTACTTTTATTGATTAAAATAACAACAAAACTTAAATACATGTAATTAATTATCTTTTTGAAAATATAAATTACAAAAATAATATTAATAAATATTTTATGTATAGTCTTTTCTAGTTTCCGTCTTCTTAAATATTTAGAAATAGAGATACCTTTAACATTTATACAATTATAATAAAAAATACAATTTTATTTGTACATTTACAAATACTATTCAATTCTGTCTGACAAAATATATTTAAATACTATATTTTTTTTTATTACTACAATACTAAATCGCTTCATAACTCAATGATAAATATTGTTCAAGAAGAATAAAATATCATCTATTGTATGTATGAATTAAGAGTATATTAAACATTACATTATTATTACATCATCATAAATGATTGCAAAGTCGCTGGTAAAAGCTAATATCAAATAATCGGTTCTTTACAATACACAACAGAACCCTAAAACCGATCGTAATTAAAATAAAGGGTTTTAAATCGACAAGCTCATGATTACACAGTTCACGTAATAAATTATTCATGAAATTGAAAGAAAGTGGCAATTACATAATTTCGAGTAACCGAGTCGATGTGTCACTGAAATCAAATAATGGACAGGAACTGAATATAACATAATAATGTCATTTATATTCAATAACCGGGTTTTCTGTCACCCGGATTGGGCTTTCGCTCGCTGTACATTGCGTCCAAATGGTCAAATAACTATATTATCTAGAATACAAATGAATGTGAACTAATCGGAAATCAGTAATAATGGATAAATTAACATCTTTAGAAAGCAATTTTTCGAAATTTAGACTATTACATCTAACAATATATCTGTATATTTAAAATTAGAGTATGATTTTTCATGTATTATATAATGATTTTTTATCTATACATATTACGAAACAAAGCTTTCAACCACTCTGACTGTATGCGATAAACTCAAACACTACTGAACGGATTTTCATGCGATCTTTATCCATTATTAGAGTAATTTTTAAGGAAGCTACATTATCTACACTATACTATCATATTTATGTAGAATTTTATGTTTAACTTAGTTATGAATACGAGATATAAGCAATAATACTGAATTCTTTCTTTTTTTTTTCTTATACAATACATTGTAATTTGATAGTAATCATTACGAATTCAAGATGAATGGAGTTAAAAGTTCAGATCTTAACTTTAACTTTTTAACTGACATTTTACACATATACGTATATGTATATATGTGTGTGTATTTGTAGTTTACTGTAAATCGATCGCATTGCGATTTTATTCCTCTCTAGCCATCAGGCAGCCTTTTCTAACTTTAGAAATCTCATCCCGATATATTGTTATATTGATCAAATGAATTAATCAAATGTTGCTGTCGTAAAATATCAGAGATTAATGTATAAATTAATAGTAGAAATGCATTTTAGCAGTAGTTTTTTAATGCTTCAATTCATTTTAAAGATGGAAATAAATAAAAATTTAATAATGCTTATAATATGCATATCTAACAGAACAGCTCAAAACAGCTTTTTTCTCAGGCACTAGTCAATTTTCCAATTGATAATTACAGCAATTCGTCATGTAATTGGAAATGCACTCAGTATTAATGGCTGTACGATATAAGTTCGAGGTTTGTTAGGGCAATCACTGGTGCTAAAGTTACACGAAGAAATAATAATAATAAAATACATTTCACATCCAAAATCACGAATATTACAGCTAGCAGACACATCGGGAGTTGCCCTTTTCTGACGTTGGGATTGTTACAATCCAAAATATACATTATGCAATTCATTATAAGGTACAGATTTATGTACACTATTATTAGCTCTTAATAATGTTTAATAATTAATCCACCGTTTCCACAGCACGAGAAAAATCGACTATAAGTACTAACCAACTTACCCGGTGTAAGGGTACTTCTATTTTAAAAAGGTATTTGTCAAACAATTAATTGGGACGTAATTTCAAACGTAACCCATGAACAAATAATGCCCATTATCCATTACCCCCAATAAATCGTCATCATAACACACTTTTGTACCATTAAAAAGCCTTTCAAATACGTGTTAATACATTTTACGGCGAGGAGCCCGATGTTTGCATTTCGTCACAGCGGGCGTGACATATGAAAACTGAGAGAGGGGGCGACAAAATAAAACTGACGGCTATGCAGACATCTTCAACAATTGCTAGTTTGTGAGGAGATATGAAGGCGTTCGTCATACTGTGTGTCGCGGTGGTCACCGGGGCTTTGCCCATGGTTAAGGAGGAAGGAGTCGCGGATAAGTTTATTTCCACGTTGAGGGAATGCGTGGACGTAGACACCATGCTGTGCTTGAAGGTGTGTTCAGTGAAGTGAAGTGTTGTGCAGTGTCGTGATACCAAAATGGATTTTATGTGGCATTATAATTAAGTGCATAATCCCACACTCGGATATATCCATTCCTTAAGAATTTAAAATTGTGTTCCACTATAAAACTACCTCGATTGATAAGTAGTGTGGGACTGAGACTGGAGCTAATCATGTCAGAAAAAATCATCAAAATCGGTTACCATTAGCAAAGATGTTTAAAATAATGGAGTTTTAAAATTATTTTAGCAGTTCTTTGATAATAGAAATATAAAATAGAACATAAGTTCTGTTTATTACGAAATATATATTATATAGGGTAAAATGGAATTCTCTTTTTGAAATTCAAATATCAAAATTGAGAATATAACAGATGCCATTAAAATTATAAATCAATTCGGTGTTAATAAGTTCTCCAGCTACTTGGTAAACTTAACTGTGATATAAGCTTCATTCCATAGAATAGTTAGAACGTGATGAGCTTTTGAGTTTAGTACGCAATCAGATTAAGTAAATTATTAAATATTATTAGTATAATTGATAATATTTAATAATTAACCTTAATCTAATAAGTTTATTTTTATTACAATACATCATTTAATCTGATTAAATGATGTATTGTAATATATGAAATTATACTATAATAACTATCCATAGAAAACGAATAATTCTGATAAAAATTAATCATTATTATTCGTTCACATTAAATTACGAAACAAGGTTTTTCTTTACTAGGTATTTTAGGTAAATGTAAAAATAAAATACAGTATAATTTCTTTGTATAAAAATGTAAATAAATTATTGTAATTAAATAATTTTTATAAAACTAGAATAAAAATTAATCATTTAAAAATTATAGATTTGTCCATCTACTCGTATATAAATAGTTTAAATGGACAATTTATTATTTTATTTATTAAGAAAGTTAAATATTTAATAATACTATTTAACTTATGTTTTGTCTATATCTTTCGAGTTACTTTCTTTGTTTGAAGGAATGAGACAAAAAAAGATTTTAGTTCTTATGAATCTTTTATGAATAAATTTTAAATATACAAAAATTACTATAAGTATTAAGTAGTATATAATCTTAATAATCTCCTTCTGTTACAGGAGAAGGCTATGAAGTACACCGAAAACTTAGCACTCTCTAAGGAGTTGACTCTCGTTGATGGAGTTTCCTTCTCAAGAACTGGTAGTCCCAGATCAGCTCGAAGCTACGAACCTCTCTCCGATGACCTGAAGGCACGAGAACAACAAGTTGAAGAGAGAATCCTGGACAATATCGTAGATTTCCTGGACAATCACGCACTACAGCTGAGAATGCCCAAATCTTTCGAAGAAGACAACTCTCTCGATGAGGAAGGTATGTATATTAATGAAATAATATTTTTTGGGGCATCTCAAAATTGTGGATTACAATTTTGTATAAATTAGTAGCAACAACGAGGGAGTTATCTATACAAAAACCGAAATCAATTAATTAGCAAAGACGTCGCAAAGTATAGCCAAAAGAAATTCAGTTGAGTAGAGAAACTTTTACTTTTTTTTAATCGATTAGAAATTCTTCATGAATACTAAACTGGCTGCCTCAATTTTTGATGATGAAAAAACGATCCAGCGCAATATTATTCTGTATTCAGTCAGGGCTACCAGTAAAGAATGCAAAATTGTGGATGAAATCAGGTCAGTTTGCCCATCAAGACGAATACACGGCTTGCCAAAATATGACATACTTTTATGCACACCATTTCTCTGATGTAGGTGTCAATGGATGGCGGTAATCACTTATCATCAGATGAGTTTCAAGCTCGTATGCCTTTTAAGTTATAAGAAATAAGTCCTTGTTTTTGAAGCTGGTTTACAGTCAATTTAATCTACGTACACTTTACGTTTCCCCGAACACTATCATGCTTAGTTTTAACTGACATCGACCTAAGCAATATATTGTTAAATTCCGTTAACTCAAAATTCGCATTAACTTTCTAGGATAAAAAATACACGACTTAAACAAAGAAAATTAAACCGTGTGATTGCGATAAACTTGCTTTAACATACATGAGCACTGATTCTTATACCTCGCAAACCTAAAAATGTATTAAATAAAAATTTCATATTTTTGAGATTAGACTTTGAAGGTAGAACTTTAGAGTGGATTTTCATAAAAATTCTTATTTTAAGTTATTCCATTATTATTGTACTAGGTGTGTGATATAGTCTAAGTCTTTCAGGTTATACCTACTACCGTGTGACCGTTGATTCCATGATCAATAACTTAAATACAAAAAAACAAAATTATTTTCCGCTATGTAAAAGAACAAATCATTTAGAGCCAAGTATATTCTTTACAAAAAAAAGTAACTACATATACTACTAGACAAATGTAGTTACTAATATCGAGTGACCAAATTATTACTTATTCTATTGATATTTGTCGTATTAATTGCCTAATTATTCCACCAAAGCTCTACCCTTTATTGCTGCTTACATATATATTATATTAATTATGTAACATTACCAATATGCGATAACTTGAATATAAAAGGCATCATAAATTAATTCATTCTAATAAAATGCATAAAATTTAAATAAATTTGTATTTATAACATTGTATTGATATTTAAATTTCGTCGCATATAATAGACTCTAGAATTTATGTGATGATAATTTAAACAAAATGTAGGTAGACGGAGTAATTAATATAGCTTTTAATTAAAACTTAGAAATTTATCTCTGCAAACATATATATTAGTAAATTATTTTAAATTTATTATAACAGCCATAGTAAATTAAATATAATATATAAGAAAATTCTAATAAATTAAAAATATATTATTTTTAATAACATATTTATTAAATTTGATATCCAATAACTTTAGCTTTATAAAAAAAGAAAATATTAATATAATAATATAAACATTTCTTTACTGCGTTAATAAAAACAAAAATGTAAAGTATTTATTGGATAATTAACTGAATTGTTAAACTTGGGTAACATTAAACAACTAAATTAATAATGTAGGTTTATGTTAACAATTAAACCATTAAAGTCGTTTTAATGGTAAGTTATAACAATAATGGAATTAACTTCTTCACACGGTTTTGACATTGGAAAATATATAAAATCATATTTTATATAATAAATTAAAATGATGTGCAAATTCGACTATCTCTGTATATGTATATTGACCTTGTGGGAGTAAGGTCTTAGGTTCGATTATCATTTGAGTTAATATAGATAGTCAGTTTTCTAGATTTTTATATAGTTAATTGTCAGCTTTTTATAACAAGTACTCTTGCACTATTCGAAACTTAGTCATGTGAGTATAAAAAATAATAAACAGTAACAAACTTCCCCTCCCTTCATCTGCATTAGTACCATTAAAACAATATTTGTGAAAAAATTACGATTCTTGATATTGAGGAATATGTAGTCAATTAGGTACAAACTTTCAAACGTACATATTAGCCTAATAATGTATATAAAAAAATGAGATATAAATAAATCTCAACCCCTATTTATCTATGAACATTAACGATTTCATTTCTAAGAAATTTATTATCATTCATCGGTCAATAATGAAAAGAATTAAAATTTCGTCGGAACTCATCTTACTTTTCTATATATCCGTAAGGTAATGCAGCATCTATTGATACTAAACCGGTTTCAAGTGCAATCTTTTATGTCAAGAATACCTGTTGTTTGATCATACAAAGTCGAATGTGGGAGACAGCTCGGCTATTATTGTTTTCTACACCTACATGTGAAGTATGCTTACACTTTCATGTCATTTCGTTTGTATTCTGATCCTCCAGATATTTCTAGTTTGGTTTGTTGCTTCGGCGTATTTTGATGTAAATTCCGGAATCTTTGATAGTGATATCATTTCAGTCAGCCGCAAAACAGCTTTTTATAAGTAATTTTTTAATTCGATGGCAGTGAAATTACAGAATACCACTGCCACCAGTTGTTACTTAATATCAGATTGGCCAGTTATGGCAATCGTGCATCATGTTTCTTATATACGGCTACGTATTACATTTATTACATTCATAATTCAAACGAAAACATAAACATCACTAGTATGTAGATTAAATCAAAGGTGAAATTAATTAGGAACCGGTTAATGTGTGACATAAATGGCAAAATCGCGCTGATTTCGAATGCCGTTCCGTTCATGAATAAGGAAATCACGGATCACGAATTCCTGCAAGAGTTCCGTAACCCTAAAGTGATTTACATGTACTTTGTTGCTCCTTAACTTTCTCGGAATGTCTCGAATTTCACTCAAAATGGTCTCAAAGCAAAGTTTAATTTACTTTCGTTTATGAATAGACGTCCACTATTCAAAGCTAGTATTGTGCCTGTTAAAATCATTTGAATTATACCGGTCACTTTGTATGAATAGATTTAAACACAATATGATAAACGAGAGTCTATTGGTATAATTAATGACTTCATTCACGAACTGTTTTGGATGATTTCTGATTACTGTGACACTGCTTAAAGTGTCACAGTATTAATACTAGTAGATATTTTTATTAGAGACCAAAACATTGTAGTATATTTTATAAAACAATATATGAACTATTATATAAATTTCTGGGTATAGTGGCATAAAACTTTTATCGTCACGAACTGCAATCTTTGAGAGATACTGCACTGCACTACATGTGTTATCTACACATGAATTGCATTATATTGTTTACGTATCATTTCTAGATTTTCTAATAGGTGAATATGGAATAGTGCAGCCATACGTTATAATAGATTAGCTGGCAATGTACTAGTGGAGGTTAAGACTAGAGTTAATTTAGTGAATTATTCACCATTATTGCAGGCTAACAATGGGATCAAATAATCCTCGCCTTCCAATTTCACGAGTTAGATTTTAATTAACGAAAACTATTTCGACTATTATACTTCCTTTGGAGCGTTTGTAGGCTACAGCTAGTTTTCAAATAAAGCATGGCAAGGGAAATTGTTGACTAAACACCGTTGGAATCATGGTAAACAGAAAGTACAGAGAGTTGCTTTGGAATTTAAATTGACAAACAAAGTCTTGTCGTCGCCCAAATTCGGTAATATGACTACTAGGCCACACTTTCATAGAACAACACGAATTGTCATCAAAATATACTATGTTATTAAAATGACATAAAATGTTTCTGAATTAAGTGCGTGTGTTTTGAGCATCTGTAAAATTTACCATCACACTTTCTACCTTCAGTATAGGGTCAATAGACACTATGAAGTAGGTGTATTTCGGCACCGAATGTGAAAAGCCTTTATCCTTTTTATTCTCTATTTATTCATTCACTGCTAAGTGACTTTCTCTTAAACTGTGCATGTATGAATAATACCGAAGCAGAATTTGTATAATCTCATCTGCGTAGGTACCAGTCTTACCTATTTCAGTCTACAAGCCGCGATTGTGTTTTTGTTGAAGTTTGCGAAATTACATTGATCGAAGGCAGTTTAGCCCCCTGGAATAATAACATTTGAGGTGTATCGCTGGCCTCACATATTAACGTGATATTTCCATTAAAGAAATCCTTCAACCTCTTTCGTTATATTTCTCTTAATATTAACAGTACTTTGAAAAAATAGAATAAATATCTCCTTTCTTTCTTAAAATACTATTTGTTACTAATTTCTTGTCATCCTTCATAGGTCGTGGCAAGAAGAAGAAGAAGCTCAAGAAGCTCCTCCCAATCTTGGCTTTGCTCAAATTGAAATTGGCAGCTCTGGTTCCTCTATTCCTCGGAATCATCGCCTTCGCAGTCTTCAAGGCTTACCTCCTCGGAAAGATCGCATTCATCGCTGCTGCTTTCGGAGCCATTAAGAAACTTCTGGAATCAAAGAAGAGCAGTGGATGGTCTGAACCAGCTCACGAAGAACACCACGGCTGGGAAAATAACAGTGGTTGGGGAAGGTCACAGGACCCTCAGAATTTAGCGTACGCAGCTCACACTAAGCAAGCGTAGAATAAATTTAAATTATTTATTTTCGATATAAGATTTCCAAGGCTCAGTTCGAAACGGTTTTGGACTCAGCCTGGAAATGATTTCTTTCTTCCACTTAGTCTTCTGTCATAACCACCGTTTCTATTAGGTGAAATGCTTGAGTCGTATAAGTCAGTGTGTATGGATGAATGCCAGAGTGTGTACTGAGTCAGTATTTTTATTTCATAGTTCTTTTAAGTATTTGCGACTGAGTTTTTATTCGTATTCATTTATATGTTATATTTATTTATTTATATATATATATATATATATATTAACTTAATCAAATTATCTAATCGTATTTATGTAGTCTATTTATTAATTATGTTATATTATATTATTTTAATACAGAAATATGAAATGTACCATATAAGTAATTTATTAATAATAACTCATGCTATATCTATGTCTATATATACATATATTTTATATTTCAAATATTTCATTAATAATTATAAATTATATAAATATTTTATTAACATTATTTCATATTTACCAAATAATTCATACATTTTTGTTCCAAAGATATTTTAATTGTATTGTATTTTACCATTCATTGTAACTATTGTATTTAATGTTATATTTACTTTTGTGTGATTGGATATTGGGTCAAGTATTTATTGCCGAACGAATTTATTTATTGAACGAATTAATATAAAATGACATTAATTTATATAATTAATAATTTATTTTACGTTAATATTACGTAAATAAACGAATATACTCAATAACTTGTTAATTATTTCACCTTCATTATAGTCTCTACTCATGGATGTAGTGTGTATGGTGATGTAAGTATTATTCTATACATATAAACCCTTCTGTAATAGAAATTCTCGAAATTACTGATAATTGACATTTGTAGCATTGCTTAGGAAAAGTGAACTTAGAAACACTACTGAAAAACTACGAAAACAGCGACTTCGCTTTAGATTATTTATAGAATTAAAGAAAAATTCCATTTTGGATTACACTTTTAATAGATATATCATAATAATATTCAGTGACTGAATTGAATTTTTCTTATTTCATGCTTCTAGGTCCATATTATACCTCATAGACTAACAAACATATGAATTCATATTATATTATACTATTATATGGAAATTGACTATGTGGTCACGGCCGACGGCAATCTACCACGGTAGCGTCAATATGCCACCGTCTTCGGCCAGTAGTCCTCTTTCATGAAGGTATATCAGTCGTAACCAGATAGTTACTATTTGTCTTTGTAGACCTGTACCTGTACTTTTTGAAGTATTATGATAGTGATCTATGTTTAGTAGTGAACAATAGATTTATTAATTACTAGTTGTCCCGGCAAACGTTGTTTTGCCTTAAAATAAAAAATAAAAATTTAGGGGTGGACTACCCCTAACATTTAGGGGGATGAAAATAGATGTTGGCCGATTCTCAGACCTACTCAATACGCTCACAAAATTTCATGAGAATCGGTCGAGCCGTTTCGGAGGAGTATGGGAACGAAAACTCTGACACTTGAATTTTATATATAAGATGATGATGATAATCAATTGTACAGTCTTGTGCATAGTACACATTGTAGTACTTTGTTATTATATTATTGAAAAATTAGAAATATTTTCAATAATTTTTTACATGGAATTTATGTGGATCTATACCTCATGATAAGTGGAAACCGTCGCCTATATATGAACAGCGTCGCGGTTTTTACCCTGTTATGTGACACCAGTAATCCCATACTGTTTGCCATTGCGTCGAATTAAGATGTCATATACTCAGTACTCTGTATCGGTTGAAGGGTGAGTGATATAAAATCTCACCCTTCAACCACCGCAGACGACTGTAAATAAGAATTACATTAACTCATATTTTATCGTATTAACAAGAAAAAGATAGTTTAAGTAATAGAAAGTAATAATATATCAATAGATGCACCTGCTTACTATGCTGTTATTTAGCGAATCATAATATTGTAAAAGCTTTTTATTTCATAAAAAGCACGTCCCGGCATCTCACACTCGTGCGTACTAAAGAAGAAAATGAAATATTTCCATTTTTACAATTTATTCCTATTAATGAAATAAATTAATATTAATTAAAAAACAGGACAAGGATTGTATTGTATTGTATTGTATGTTGGACTCCAGTCTCCGCAATTAGCCTCTCATTCGTTGTACGTGCAGGGCCAGACTACTAAAGTAGCCAGCCAAGCTCCTCCCAAAAGCGCAGAAGACTCCTGTGTCTTCACAGGCTTCACGGAGCGACCTCACCGTTCCGAGGATTTGTTTTCGTTGTGGGGCCACTGCCGTGCACTCCAGGATTACGTGAGCCACCGTTTCTTCAGCTTTAAAGCAGCCCCGACAAAGGGGACTGTGTAGGATCAATCAATCATCAAATCAACAGGACAAGTCTCACAGCCCCTACAAGTCCCAAGTTAAGCAGAGTTTATGTTATGGGTACTATAGAACGGATATCCGCTTGCATATATTCGGCAATTAATTTATTAGGTAAGTGTGCATTGCTAGTAATAGGGACTACTGATCCATTTTCTTGCAATGTAACCTATCAGATTGATTTCCACGTGGTTCAGGATGGAAACTACCCTGCTTAATTACAGGTGTGCGTAATTACAAGTGCTAAATGAGCTGACCTCATCTCACACTATTATCCTCTACTGAAATCAGTGCATATATCGTTATCACAGGTGGGTATACCACACCATTCCATATTGAAATATTGAAAGAGGAGGAAGGGAATTATTGGATAGCAGTTGATCTCCAAGCGGTTCCTCCTGGAAACTATAGTGTTAAATTCCTGATGAATTTGTCATAATGAGCCAACTGACTTGACATCATATGCATCTTATTACCCTCCACTGGTGCCCCGCCAGCATATATCAATAGTGCAGAGGAGTGGACTTTCCATTAAAGAAAATTGTTAGAAAATAAATGTATATCTACATATAGCAGATACAAATACTCGTAGCAAGTTGCTTACTACCTGTCAAAAAAAATATTTACCAATTCAACTGAGCAACGTTAGATGGCGCTTTCAAATACATTTTTTATTTTAAGGTGAAGTTTATATATTGGCTATATCTCTTTATTAAACCGTTTTTGAACTTGATCCTATTGTACTTATATATATTTAGAAATATACTCATAAAAATTCATTATTTTCATTTATTTTTCAAGCATGTTCTGACTTTCAATAAAGCTCAACTTTTGCTTATTTACCTTATAATATTTTTGTAACTCGGAGAGTAGTGTTATTATGGTATTAATGAAGCTGCTATAGCTAAGCTGATCTTATGATGAAAATATATTAAAGGAAGGCAATGTTTGGTTTGTAATTTTTAGAAGAATGCATGGGATTCTTTCAGATCTCAGAGTGTATTCTGTCTCCTTTGCCATACGAAACAATATAAGAACATTATTATAATCAAATATTTTACATGCATAGAATGTTCCCCATACATATTGAAAAGCCTATTAGCATCAGTAAGTGGAATTGGTACAGTCAGGCAAATTTTTTGATTCACATTGTTGTCTTATTCTTTGTGACCAAGGAAAGGTGACAATGATTTATTGAATAATTTTAATAATTGCATTATATGTGTATGGGTAATGTATAATGTATAAATACTCAAGAGGGCTCGTAGAGAAGTCAAAAGTGACATAAAAAAAGAGACAAATCAATACAATATTTAGAAAAAGAACAGTGGACAAACTGCCAGTAACAGTATTAATAATGTGGACTTAAAACCCCATTGCTAGCAATGTATAGATTAATCTACGTCTTTCCATTGGAGTTTCCCGTGAAAACCCCGTGGAAACGATTGTCATAAATTTCTGATGAATTTTCTAAGATGGGCTTATAGACCTGACCTTATTCTCATTTTATCTCCTACTAGTGCCCCCCCAGCGTATACCGATAGCGCAAGCGGGTGTACCATTCCATTATCACCAATTAAAAATATTGCAATTAATATTTTAAACTTGATCTTGTTTTAATTTTATATACATTAAATATAATGTACGAGTATTACTGCGGTTATACCTAAAGCGATGGAAATCACTCTAGATTTTCTAGAGATACTTTCAATGTACGTAACCACAAAATAGTGCCTATGTAGCTCTTAAGACAATGAACCATGTGAATGAGGGGAAATTTGTAGCCATTTTAGTGATAGGCAATATGTGACTTATTTTCTAAGTCTAGTTAATATTTTTTATACAACTATAGTGGCAAACAAGTATACGGCCCATCTGATGGTAAATAGTTTCTGTAACCTATAGACGCCTGAAACACCACGAGTGGTATCACGTGCGCGTTGCCGACCCTTAAGAAACCTAAAAATACCCTTTTTGAAATACCCCATGCTGTAGTCTCGTGAGTAAAACTCGCCAGGTAGTTCATACTACAATCTAATTAAATTATAAGTGAACATTTGTGCAAACACTTCAGGTAAAAGCTTCTCTATTTTTCATGGAATTTGAAGATTTCAGGAATAAAATTAAAAAGAATGAATATTACCTTATTTGTAACGGTACTAATAATATAAAAGATTGCCCGTGTTCGTCCATATGATATTTTGTCGTCAAATTTCATTAGAATCCATTCAGACGTTCAGTCGTGAAATATAAATAGACAGATATATTTTCGATTTTATAATATTAGTACAAATTTTACTGCGTATTTTTTGACGGCACTTTCATTCGCAGATAGCTTATGTTATAGGGAGTAACTTAAGCTACTTTTATTTAAGAATTTTGCAGATGAAGAGGTCCTCTACCTCAAAGCTGATCCTACTTGTAAAGGACTGACCTAAAGGTCGTTTATATTCAGTAACTCCATTTTTTTCACCTATTTACGCTCTGGTCAAGAATAGTTAAACTTCATTTGTATCTGACTGTACTAAACAAACCGGATGTCGTTACCAAGTGCTAAGTTTATTTACGATCTTCTTAAATGTCGTATTCTGGATAATGGTGACAATATATCAGCTGTTTCGTTATGTTATCGTGGCGATATCGTTTTGACTATTTGCTATTTGTTCTATTAATTTAAATTTATATTATCCCGTGAAAATAAAAATAAGAAAGTTTACACTCTCTCACTTATATCTCTATTTCCCCAGTAATGAAGTGAGTATTATTATTATCTCCGAACTAAAATAGAGCTTACGAAACAAGTTGCTTGTCGATTAAAATAGGTGAGACTGAGGTACA